CTGTATTTAAGGGGAGGGGTATGTTGATTAGATGTTTTATGCTATCCAGTGCTACAGGTTGTTCTGTTTTTTTTGAGGGGAGGAGTGTGTTGATTGGATGTGTCGGGGGTCAGCAGAGGTTCTTTTGTGTAGAGATTTGGGACATATGCGATCTGACTGTGTGTTCGTAGAGCATAAATACACCCCACGAACTGTCGCGGCTGCTCGTAAATGTACCCATATCTGTAGTAAGGTACTGGCGCATACACAGACGTGTGTGTAAGGTATGTTGGTGTACACGTATCTGAATGTAAGGTATAGGCGCATACACATACTTGTGTGTACGGTATATTTGTGTACACATGCTTCAATGTAAGATATAGGCTCGTAGACATACATGAATGTAAGCTATAGACACGTACACATACGTGTGTGCAAAATAAACATGTAAACACATATCTGAATATAAGATATAGACACGTACACATACGTGTATAAATTATATACTTATACGCATACCTGAATGTAAGATATAGACGCGTACACATCGTCAACATCGTCAAAAGTCTGGCTGGCCGTGTGCTTCACTTGCACCGCCTCTTCCCGTAGATCGCTTAGATCTATTACTCCGGAGTACTCATCGGCGCTGGACATTCCTGCCATTCCGACTGCATGCGAATTACACCAGAGTTCGATCAAATATTCGTTAGATGTTTGAAAAGACGTGGTTTAAATTGTTGATTGATATTTGGAAAGGTACGGCTTATATTCCTGTTTGGTATTTGTAAGGATATGCCAAGCAAAAGCTGCACCCGCTGTGCGAAATGGTTGTGCAGGTCATTGTGAATACTCTAGTAACCCAAGCCTACTATGTACATGTTAACATATCCGTCATAGTTGTTTTCTACCATGCATGTCCTAATATCCTGGTATGTGAAAAGGGTTTACTATGATAAAATGACCTACTAAGGGGTGGCTTTTCTACTAGAAATCACCATCATATTACATCGTCCGCACAGTCACTAGTTGCCCTAAATGCGACAGATATATATAACTGGCTGTACGTATGGTTGTACTTTTAGTTGTACTTGTAATAGGTAGAGTGTACAGTTCATAGCATACATATGGTATATAATTACATATTGAACTACCTATCGGTTGTACTTTTAGATATACTTGTAGTAGGTATAGTATACAGTTCATAGCATACATTTAGTATATAATGGCTACACTTATTATAAATATAGAACTACCTATACTATAAGGATAGGCCTGTTTTCTTTTTGGAAGTGATATCGCCGCAACACTTACGCAGTTAGAAGCCAGCTTAGTAATTCTGCATCTCTGCGTCATGGTGGTAAGACGGGAATGCACACACACACACACACGTAACACGAACAGACACACGCACACACGTAACACGAACAGACACACGCACACATAACACGAACACAGCTACAAACATAAACATGTGCCCCAAGTGATCAAACAAGCTGAAAACCCTTACATGCACGTTCACTACTCGCACACGACCGGCCTCAACACCCACCCCCAAGACAACACACACACACACACACACACACACACGAGAAACCATCACGTATATGGATAGTCTCTTGATTCATCCTATACCTTTATATCCCTCTACGCACCCCCCCCCCATTCCACCACAGAAACCCGTACGTATGTGGACACTAACCCTCTCTCAAAACCCAACAGCCATTCCCACACACACCTCTACAGCGGTCTGTGTGTGTGTATGTGTGTGTGCGTGTGTACATGATGCACATACCCTCTTTACTAACCCCTGAGCGTATCTGCCTGGCAGCCTTCCTCGCCACTCTGCGTGCAGACACCCTTTGGACCATCTCTTTGCGCTGAGAGTCTTCTAGCTCCCGTGATTTCTCTTTCTCGCTCGCGCTCTTCTGCTGATATTATATACCAACAATTGAATGGCACTATTAGACTCTCGTATGCCGCACATTCTTTGCCTAATACAATAGTAGATGATCACAACCGAGCTTCCTAGCGGTCTAAGACTTCGGAGTATCAGCACCAGTCAGAGGGACAGCAAATGGACTGCTCCATCGGGAATTCCATTGCTAGGGTTTAGGGTTTATATTACATTGCTATTCAGAGGGACAACACTTCAGACTGCTCTCTCGCTGGCTGTTGACTAGAGATTAGGGTTTGTCCATTCCAAAGCCCTCCGCAGCACAAACAGGTGCAGTCCTACCGTACGCCACAAACTATCCGAACTATGGTTTATGACTCACGACACTGCCAGATATAACCACACACATGACGAAAACATAAGTGAACTACCTGAGTCGTCTTCACCTTTGGGTCCAATTTGGCCCCAAAATTACGCCCGGGTGCAATCGAGTCCAACTCCATCAAACTCACGCGCACATCCTCTCGGCGGCCAGTGATCTTGCGATGAGAGATGTCCTTGATAATGGTGTGCATTTTAGCCTCGCAATTGACTATCAGCGGCACCTTCTCATCCAGACAGTCTATCAGGACAGCCATGTACGACCTGGACGGTACGGTAAAGGGGTGTGCAGGTCAATAGAAGTAAGTATTGTGGGTCAGTTGCATCCCTCAGTACAGATGCCTACTACATGACAGCGATGAAAGCGACACGCGTGTTGCTTTCCCATGCTCAAAAAACTTTTATATATATGTATATACATATACATATATATAATATATGATGTATAATATATAATATATATGGAAATATAGACATATATATATATAATATATATATATATATTTAAATTAACATATACATACACACATACACACACACACACACACACACACACATATGTATATATATAGATATAGATATATATATATAGATATATAGATATGGATATA